GAATGTATACATAAATTAAAAGAAAAGAAAGGGAAATAGATTAAGATAAGAAAAGTTGTTAAGCAAGAAGTTTACCATGTTTGAAAAAAAGAAGAAAGATGAAAATAAACTGCAAAAAATTAGAATAGTCTGCTAGTCCATTAGATCAGACAGCACTGGGCACGAACGAGGGAAAAACAGCCTTATTAATGAGTTGTTATTGCAAGAGGCATGAGAAATTAGGCTATCATTGGTGAGCAAACTGTGTTGTGTTCGATCGTACCATGGCGAGGAAATGCGCCGCCGAGTTCCTAGAAAGGCGGAGACATGCATCGCCCTCGACAAGAGCGGTTGAACGGGGGCTGTTCCACGAGAGAACTGGATCTGCTAGAGTGGGCGACCGGAAATACAAGGACAACCTCTTGGAGCAGCCGATGAGAAGGGTTGTCTCCTCTGCTTTATCCTTCGGGGCTCAGCTAAAAACTACCATCGAAAGGTTGTTTAGCTTAAACGACTGCGCCTGCACGACCGGAGCGGGGTGAGAGCAGTTGTCGGAGTGCGATACTAAATTTTTCAACATTTCGTTTGCCTTCATCCAGTCCAACTGACAGCTCCATAACATCGGCTATCCAGCCTGACCAAAACCTAAAAACCGGAAACAGCGCTCCACGGGGAAATATGATTGACGTTTAAACTTTTGGAGCTTCAGTGGAATGAGTCCAGGAAAAAAAGGATTCCCAATAGCAATTTTCTTCTACGGACGTTGATCCGTGAAAAAAAGTGAAAAGTTAAGGCGGAAATTCACAATATAGGCTTATGAAAAAGTATGTAGAAGTTTTAAGAGAGATGTGAGAGAGAGAGTCGAGAGAGGGACGTGAGAGAAGAGAGGGAGAGACGAGAGAGAGATGAGCGAACTCGATTCAATGGAGAGAATTTGAGTGAGCTTTATGCTCAAAGGGATTAAGAAACAGTTTCTAGCTATTAGAAGGCCTCCAAGCTGATTTCCAGAGTTCAAGCATGACTCCGCCTCACTGATCGGACCACCTTCAGCGCTGTCGAGGCCTGCTTGAAACAAAGCTCCGATTAAACGTCTAGCGTTGGGGGCTCCTCTCAAAACAGAGTTGCAAGAAAGTTATGGGTGTGAGAAGAAGAACGAAGGACCCTCGCCGAAGCTTCAAATAATACCCCTTAGCGAGCGCTTCTGTACAAGCAAAGGGCGTTGAAAGTAGTGATCGGACGAGAACACCAGGCAGTGGAGCTGTGTGATGATATGGCTTCTCCTAGCATGTTAGCGTTTCTAGTGTTATGGACGCGTTAAACGGCGGCGTGGGGCTCAGAAGTGAAGCGGACCATGAGAGGCGGCGACGCGAATGATAGTAAAGGTCTTGCTGTGACGCCGCTTGTCTGCACTTCTAAGGTTCTTCCATTAGAGTGAATGAAAAGCTGACGATAACGCCCGAGTGTAGAGATGAACGCTATTGACCTTGGCTAGGTGGATTACATCAGTTCCCCGTCCGCTTGGAGACTTTCAGTCACCCATTCCCTTCTAGGTAGATTGCTATTTCGTGTAGCTTTATTATTTAGGGGCATTTCTTGTCCTCCTTTTTTAGCGATGACCTTGCGTAGTTAGAAGACGTGAGCCGGAGTTCGCCTGTGTCTGTGTGGTCACTTGTTTGAAGAGCTTCTTTAATGATTAAATGTCGGACTTGAAAGCGCTTGATACGAACGCCGGCGCAAATTGGTTTCGCGGCTAACGGCTGTTAGCTCAGGCCTCAAGTTCTGGTTTTTAAGACGTGATATGGTATCATTTTCGAGAGTCAACTATTTCCCAAGGTCGATGTTTCTGAGGATTCGCCTAGGAGAAGAATTTCAAATAATTTCTGGCGTATAGTCTTCGCTGAGCGGGCAATAAAAGGTAGGATACCTATAATTATATAAGAATCGAGTTGATACGCGGGAAGCGGATGACTTCGAAAAGTATGTATTCAATTATGTCTGCTGAAATTTTTACAAGCGAAACTCACTAGCATTTTCTCGCACACTTATTTGAGTTATGTTTGCTAACGAGTCTACAGTCGTTGCCGCTCCAGACCTGGTACGCGTCAGGGAGGCTGAACTTGGAGCGGCATCAGTCCGCTCTTCACCAATTATTGAAACCGGCTAACGGCAAAATTGTGGAAGACGGGCAATTGCCGGACAAGTTGCCGGCATTCAAGACCCATCCCCTCAACTACGTCCGCTGCCAGAGGAAACTACACACTCGGTTTCACAAAGCTGTGAATGTCCTCTTTGAAACAGTTCATGTGAAGAACTTAGGAGAATCAGATCACTCTAGGGCTCAAACCTGTTACCGTTGGATAGCGCAGAAAGAAATAATAGGACATTCAGTTCATAGCAACGGGTACTTGTAGCAACTTGTGTTATGCAAAATTCCGAGGCGGGGTACATTTTTATTGATGATGGCAGCTCATACGCATCTTAAATGTTTTAATAGTGCGCTCAGTTCATACAATGTTTTCAAAAGTCACAACAGCTATTTCGTCGCATATCTGTCTGATCCTTCTTAAAATTTCATTTGCACTTGAATGGTATTTTCTCCGTTGTGGAAGACGAATTATTATGAAACTATTATTTATTTGTTTAGTTATGAAACTGTTTTAGAACAATAATCAAACAACGGTAAGCGTTTTATATGAGGAGTTTCCATATATACCATTTTCACTTTAAATTCGCCCTTTTTCAAACCAAATTCGTCCTTTTTCAAACCAAATTCGTCCTTTTTCAAACCAAATTCACCCTCACTCTTCATCAAGAACCACACTTATTAGGGCGGGCAACTCATCAACCAGATCACGCCAGACATCACTGCGAGCCCCGCCGAACGACACGATCCACTTGTCCGCGCGGAATTAGATCTAAAAAAAATTGCTGTTCATAACTTTCTTTTTGCTGTTTCAACCAAACATGAAAGCACGGGCCATAACAATGGCCAAACTCCCGCCCATTTCTAAACGGTTGGCAATCTAGCTGACGTCGCCACGTTGCTTTATCCGCGGATTTCGATATTGTTTCCAAAATTTTTGCCTTTTTTAGGCTGCTGCCATGAACCTCCCACTGTTGAGAGCTCCCGCCCTTTTGCGAGAAACAGGCCCACCGTCACAAATGCGTGCAATCGGCAGTATAGAGTACTTGCGCTTGCATGCTAAAGTCTCGTTCGTCAACTTCGAACAAGATATCCAGCAAGTTTCTTCCAAAGATAGCAATAGCCTAGCATGCAAGCCATGTTTTGTTATGCCAGTTTTGTTTTTTGACATTTCTCAAAGTGGGCGGGGCTTCACGCAGCAACCCTAAAATGCAAAAATTTTGAAAAAACATCGAAATTCCGCGAAAAGCCAGTGGGCGTGGTCAGCCTAGAGTGCCAAACCCTTTAGAGAATGGGCGGAGTCGGCCATGTGTGAATGCACGGTGGTTTCCAGTCAAAGTGTTTGTGGGAAACAGCAAAAGCAGAAGTTATGAAACAAGATTTGAGAATCTATGTCCGCGCTGACAAGTGGGCGTGGCCGTCGGGGCGGGGCTCGCAGTGATGTCTGGCGTGATTGCTGTTGTATGAAGTGCTGTACCACCTCAAGTTCCCCATAATAAGTGTGGTTCTTGATGAAGAGTGAGGGTGAAGAGTTTGGTTTGAAAAAGAATGTTAAAAAGAAGTGAATTTTGGTTTGAGAAAAGGAACGAATTTTGGTTGAAAAAGGGACATTTGTTTCAAGAGGCAGATTAAAGTGAAAATGTAATATGCTGCATGTCTAGCAAAAATCTATCTAGGAGTGAACTCACCTTCACTACCTCTCTTTGGTTAGTGTAAATAGTGATTGGTAGCTCATCAATGACCAGTTGGATTTTGGAGGCCTGGATTAGAGGGCAAAATGAGAACTGTCGCGTTTAGTTGGAACACAGTTAGCTTTGTGGGGAATCACCCATTGTTGTGGCTTTCATTGGCGCACTCTAATTCATTACGTTACCGGGCTAGGAAAGACCCAAATGGCCACAATAGCAGGTTCATTCCGCCACTACGATCCCCCGCGAAGGTCGGCGGTCCCGGGTGTTATGTAACCTGATGTTGTAATGCTTTCCAGATTTTGATATATCATTCCTTATCTCTTCTAAAAAACCATTTCCTTGGTCTTGGCGTTCTTTACCTGTAACACGTGGTGTGACATTAACAACTCTCCGCTTGTATAAGGGCTCAGTCCGAATTAGTGGGTACAACCCGTGCCCTGTATAACGTGTCTACGACTCGAAAGAGCGTGACAAGGGAGCTGGAAACTCGCACATTGAGGTTGTCTACACCTCCTTGGGGGTGAAAACACCAGTCAGGACACTTGCTCTCGCCGTGGAAAATTTTTCGCAATTATGACCCCCTAATTTCCTTCTCTGGTGCGCCCTCCGTCTCCTTGATCCTTTCTATCACCTTACTGAATTGCTCCAACTTGATGCCCTTTTCCGAAAATTTCCGAAGATTCACTCCATATTTTGGCGTCAAGCATGGGTAGGGGGCGTAGACACCTCTCCAACTGTAGTTTTACCAGGCCGCCCACAGTGGGAGGGGAGCATATAGCACATGAAAGGAGAAAGAATCAACTATCGAGACAGTTTCCTTTGGCTGAGTACGTTTCTCCTCTCCTACAGCGAGCAATACGCTCCTTCCTCCCTCCCCCGTGGCGAATTCCAGACGTATGGTATGTCCTGCTCGAAATGCCATCAAAGTACAATGACTGAGACTCACTGAGCCCTCTTGCAAACTCAGTCCAAAACCATCCCCTTTTCCATTGCTCAGTACAGTACTCAAAAGATGGGCTATAGCTTTCTTCGAGAGATAAACGTGGTAATTCGCAGGTATGTAATTGTACGAGGGAGAAATTTGAGCGAAAAACTCATAGGGTTAATAATAGACCTCGTGTCTAGCGACGTCCATCGCCTCCAGTCCTTCTCTCATTTTCTCCATATCTGCCTTCATTTGCTGATTATCAACGGTGACAAAACGTCGAAGTCGTCGAACCGCCGCCCGGCCTTAACGATTTGGTTCAAAAATGGTTACGAATACGTGGAATTCCAACAACCTTTTGTTTGTGATAACCGCTCTGCCTCCGGCCAATTTATTCATCGCACCAATGACAATTTCTAAACGAGCCTGGAAGATAATAGTGGTTAGGTCCTGTAAATAGCAACGTAGACACATGGATGCATCTTCTATGCATCTCGTCTATGCTGCTATTTAATCTGATCTTCATAATTCAAGTACCTACTCAGAAATGGCAAAAATCAAAAGTATTCCAGTGAAACTACCGAATATGGTCAACCTCCTGCCTAATGTACCTACACTCAACCTGGAGCTAATGTATTCAGCTCAACTAGATGAAAATTCCCAAATACGACGGAAGGGCACGGCATCGTAAATGGATACTCGAACAGTAGGATCAGGAGGGATCGCAGTCGCCTTGGCGAGGAGGCTTTGCCAGGGCACGCCATCGTTGTGTTGACCACAAATGGGGGGGGTCGTATTTGGTCTGAGAAATTCTTTTTGTAGTTCATATCTCTTGTTTCATGGACGGTATAAAAGGGGGAGGGGGGTCGTATTTGGCCGTTGTTGAGAGAGGGACTGCCAAAAAATCTATACAACAACTATTTCCGATAGTTGAAAATGACAGTTACAGTCCTCATCATTGCGGACCGGGGGCGTTTCAGCCAGTATGGGGTGCTAACTTCAAGCCGTTCCACCTTGTTGAAACGCGTATGCGACAAAAAGTGGTAGAAAACGAGTAATACGAAGGATATAATACAGTAATGTCACTTGCCCGCTTCAACAACTGGTGCAGAACGACTTTGGCACCGCGCCAAACGCAGCCGCACTGACACGCCCCACCAGTCCGCAGTGATGAGCACTGTAACTCCTGATGACCTCGCTTCCCCCCCCTCCCCCCTCCCGCTCGACGGAAAATTCTTGGCTGAAAAACTGGAAATTTTTCGGGAAAAATGGAAAAAGTGGTAGGAAGTTGGGAAAATCTAGGAAAGTGGTAGGTAGCATGGGGAGGGGGGGTCGTATTTGAGGATAGAATTTAGGGGGGTCGTATTTTCAGGAAATTTCTCAGGAAATGATCACAACGCGATGGCGCCCTGGGTACTGCATAAGGGGCGAGCACGGTGTCGAGTAAAGCGGTCTTGCGCATACCACTTTTTCCTGACTGCTGTTTGAATGGCCCCAGTAGTCGAGGATTCTTCGTCGCATGCTTTACTGTTGTCTGTACTAAGGTTAGAGGGGTTAGGATAGAGGGGATAGGGATTCTGGAAATAAGCCCAAAATTCTTAGCATGTATTCCATTGATCGACGAGTTTCAAGTAGGAGTTGGAGGTAAAGGGATAAAGGGACATGGGCGAAGATAGGCTTTCAGTTGATTGTCATGTTGAAGGAAACTATGGAAGTTCCAAGGAAAGGGTAGGGGAGAATGGTGCTCATCGTCAAGACGTTTCCCAGTTCAAGGAAAGAGGCGCCAATAGGTCATAGCTACTTATTTTTTAATCATTTCAGCGTCAAAAAGGTTCTCCTTTCTACCGCTTGAGCTCTAATTCTATCAAATTCGGTTCTCTACGGCTCTGGAGCGCTTTACTAACTCGTTTGAATTTTACCTGCTGGTTGCTCTCAACGAAGTGCTTCAGCTTTGTGCAAGCAGCAGCCATTAACTCGTGTGGGTTTTGTCCGGGTGGAGCAACTATAGCTCCTGTTTCCACAACTTTATGGTTTGGCTGAACGAAAGACACTGTGAAACGTTCACCATGAGTTAGTGAATATACAGCCTCTCTTCTCCTACACATTGAGAGTGTGGTTATACATCGCGATTTGGTCAATCTCATCACGCGATTTGAGCGACCCAATCGCAAAGTATGAACGCACACTGGGAGGGTATTGATCAGGCGCGCATATAATCAATACCTGTTTTGAAGCATGTGGCGGAGGTGGTGTAGTGACAAGTGGCGCGCTTACCACTCGCGCGGCGCCGGGTTCAAATCCCGGGTCGACTCCCGCCCAGGCCAACCAAGCCCTCTAT